CATGTACTGTTTGCAATTATTGCCTTTGCATATCTACGTCATAGTTGTTATATTTATGAATATTGCTAGTGACTACTTTTCTTCTGTTACTGAGTGAGCTTATTTTCCTTAATCTCAAGAAATCACCTAAAATACCTGTTTCTTTAGTAGACAATTCAAGTTTCTGTTCTATCCTCTTCCACAACATACAGTTCTAGAAAAAGCATAAAATATGACATATTTATTGTTCCAAAGGTATGTCACAACTAAAATGCCTATGTTCGCTTTGCTGCAACTTCAAAAGTATACCGAGAAACTATTGTCCTCTTTCTAAAATAAGTCCTATACCTATAAAGATATTTGTTACACTTTACAATAAGGTAAAACATTTTTAAAATATGGTACAAGGTCACAAAGAATGGGTCCTTTAACATGTTAGATTTTCTTTTCGCAAGATAATTTTATTATTTTCATGCCTTTTTAAAAGATTAGTGTTTTTTACAGTGCAGTAGAAGGTGTATCTGTTGTACTCACATGAGATGAAGTATCCAGTCATGGCCTAGAAAATTATATTTTATAAAACATGGGCGGCTCACCCCTCCAGGTGCCATGTTAAGATGGGCAGCTGAACTGTACATACTTGTTCTCGCATACACCCTTTTATCAGGCACTTTCTGTCATGTAATACTTTATCTGTCTGTCTGGGGTTGTTTTGTAATGGCAATGATAATTGATAATGTATCAGTTTTAAATGATCAATTTAATTTGTTTTTGCATATGCTACATCCATGCCAGCAGGTGTCAGTATAAAGCCTAGGAATACCATTGTATTAACCAGTGAAATATGAAGAAAAATTTCTTTGTGCATTTTAAAATAGGATAACATTCAAAGACAAACTGGTCAAAGCTTGGGAGTTAAAGGGTATAGAAGTTTGGGAGAACTTGAGCAACTACCAGTACAAAAATTCTTCATTCAGGTGATGTTTGTCTATAGAGGAGGTTTCCAGTCTAGTGTCCCCACTGAAAACATCAAGGAACTACAACATATGGATTTGCTATCTCATTACCTTGAAATTTGTTGGAACATAATACAGCACATCTTGATGTATTGTCTGAGAATCATGAAATGAAAAATAACAATATAAGATGCCAACAGACTGGCACTAGTTCTGTGAGAAGCTCATTTAAATGGCATGGCACCTGTTTTTGATTGGCCATTGGTTTGGTTTGGTCTTTCCTTTCTTTCTTTTGTGGGACAAAGTTAACAGGTGGGTTGTGGGAAAGCTGTTAAAATGCAGGTGGTTTTGGTCAATAAACATACACATCTGGTGGGATGGAGGGTTAACCAGGGTGAACTTTTGGAGGAAACTGTCAAGGTGAAAAATGGTCCATGAAAGAGAGGGAAACTAGAAGAGACAGTGTGCTAATCATCATCCTCACTGCTTGCTTTGTACAGACTTCTTGCCAAGTCCAAATGAAGACTTGTCCAGAGGACAAGTCCAAAAGACCTTGCAATTAGTTTAGCGCTTCCAAATGGTTATGTCAACAGGGCAAACATAATTGAAAACGAGAGCTCAAGCCTGGGTTTACCTTCACATACTTGTCAATACTGCCCAAAAACATATGCAAACACCGTTGACCTGCTGAAGCTATCTGTCTCACATACTTATCCCAGCTGGAGCACAAGTTGCCCATTCTGATTTCAGGAAAGGAGGATAGGCCAAATCCATTAAGGGGAGCTTTTTTTGAGGGGGATAAATATGTGCAAAGCAGGTTTCATTTCACTCCTGCTTTTCCTGGACACACTTTAGAGGAATCTGGGAGCAAATCAGCACTTTCCTTTGGCACAGCCTCAGTGAGATCTGCAGGAGTATTTATGCAGACATTGACATGAAGTGGATGTTTAACTGGCCATTTTTATACTTAGCACTTTGTCAGTGAAACGGTCAGCCTTTAATTTTCCTAGAATAAAAAAGGCAGGTATACATTTTTAGCTCTCAATGGGACGAAAAGAGTTACTCTTTGTACTCTGAGGGGGTTGTTATAAAGAGCCCTTGTTGGATTTACTTTTCTGTAAGCTTTGCCTGGTAAACTTCAGTTTGAAGCTTTTTTTAATATTATTATTTTCAGGCAGGAAGTTAAGGGGGCAAGGCACAGAGACACAATGCAGACTGAATTCATAACTAAATCTCCCATGTGCCCAAGTAGCATCAACATGTCTGGGGTACTTTGAAGAATGTTAACCACTGGGCTACTGCTTCAGCAGTAGGCAACAACTTGATTAAATTCTGCCCAACATTCTCCAATTAATTGAAAGAGTGTGGCATAGATCCTGTCCCAGGGTAGGCAAGTTCGGTCCTAGAGAGACGCTGTCCTGTAGAGTTTAGCTCCAACCCTAATCAAACACACCTGAACAAGCTAATCAATGTCTTCAAGATCACTAGAAAGCTACAGGCAAGTATGTGTGTGATTAGGGTTGGAGCTAAACTCTGCAGGACAGTGGCCCTCCAGGACTGAAGTTGCCGAGCCCTGTTCTATTTCATATTTTGGTGATGTATTTCTGCATAGTCATCTGCTGTAAAGTCTGCAGGCTTTGCAAAAGTGAACATGAGAGGTGCATTTCAGATGCAAAGGGGTATTTAAAAGTCTTCACAATAAAATGACAAATTAGATAACCTATGGCAGGGGGGTCCAGTCCTGCTCCTGGAGGGTAACTGTCCTGCAGAGTTCACACCTGAACCAGCTAATCAAAGTCTTCGGGATTTCTAGAAACTTCTCTTGTGTAGGAGATCTGCAGGACGCTGACCTTTCGAGAGCAGAATTGGACAACCCTGCCCATTAGAATTGAGCTAATAATCATAAGGTTGCAAATCCTCCTTTTAGCAAAGTACATCATGACACCTGCAGGAAGGAGCCTCTAGTTACTCCTGAGGGATTGTCCTTGTTTTAAAATCCTTGGACTGCAAGTCATTTTGGGTAAATGACTACTTGCAAAGATGAATGAACCCATGAATATACGTGTTGTGTGTTAGAAGTGAAAAGCATCTGTGTTTCTGATGTACATCTGAGACTTATTTCCGCTTTTCCCTCATCATGTCCTCCTTTCATCTATGTCTTTCTGTATTTCCTGACTTCTTCCATGCTCCCTGCTATAGTCTCCCAGTCTTATCTTTCTTTCTTCCTCTCCAAGCCTCCCTGGAATTGCAGTCTTTCGTTTAAGGTCGTAAACACTCTATTTGTGGGCAGGTAGCCTGCAGCCAGGCTGGGGGGTAGTTAGCTGCCCTCTGAAAGCTTTTGGCTGGGGCTCAGGAGTTCAAGGCTGCTGAAAATGAGCCAGAGTCTCTCTCTCTCTCTCTCTATCAGAGTCTCCTCTGTATGTCTGGAACAGAATATGATTGCCTTCTCTTTTACACCTGTTCTGTCTTTCACTGTCTGGATGTTTCTCTCTCACTAAGGCTGTCTGAATGGCTAATCCCCTTTGACATTCGCCTATGTTGTCATTTCATCAGTAATAGATAATTAAATTAAACAGAAGAGGCTCTAATTTGCTCTAGTTGGTGTGACAAACACTGGACATCTCTCATATCATCTTGGTATTAAACTATCAAACCGGGCCGGCACCGGGGTGGGTATTCACGGTCATGCCCCCTTTCCCTAACACTGAATGTCAGCCAATTCGAAAATAAAAAGCGAGCATGCATTTAACATGATTTCGGGACCTGCTGACCCTTCTAGAAATACAAATGTCCGAAAAATAACTGGACAACCTGTATTTTGCATTGCGGATTTGTAACAGCATTGGCTCAACCAGTGTCATGAGTTTGGGGTGAGGCTATCAGTTATTAATATGTAATTGTGTTTAGTGCCACGAGTGGTAAAATCCATCAAAAATTGGTCTATTTATCACATGGCTAATTGGCTATCATTAATCTAGAATCTATCATGACAGGAAGAGGATATTTTACTTAAATTCTGGCATGTTCTGCACCATGAAGAGGAATATGGTGCTTTATTTATATTTGGGTCGTCTTATCACAGATCTCTTCATTTGTTTGCACATTCACAATGTCCAAACATGTTGTTTGCTGGTGACATGCTTGTATATGAGTCCCTGGTGTTATATGGCTTGCGGTAATGGAGCAGGGTTTCCTGTGTTGGGTTCAGGTGGTCCGGCTGTCAGTGAGTGGGATGCCTTTGGGAGGTGGGGGTGTCAAAAAAGATTCACAGTTTAAACTTTGCACAGCTGTTCACAAGGTCAACCCTTTATAAACTGTGATGAAATCTTTTTTATCTCTCTACCTCAATTTATCTCCTCCCACATCTTCCTTGGTTTCCATCCATTTTTTCCAATATCATCATTTTAATGCCATTACAAAAACCCATTTATTACTGTACTCATTTAATAACTTGCTCTTTTTAAGAAAACATTTGTCCACTCAGAGCAGCTTGATTGGTCAACGTCCTGACACATGGTGGCCCTATTTTTTTTACCAAGTCACCACCCATATCACCTGACTCATCTGTCACAAGCCTTGTCTTTCAATGGTCTATTAATAAACTAATGGTCTCATAGGAGGTCTCATAGGAGGCTTTACACCCTACTGTGATATTGCTGGTGGAGGCATTACAGCATTCCATGTGCTTTTCTGTGTATAGGAGTCTTCGCTACCACCAGCTTTATTTAAAAGTGTTAAATTACATGTGACACGGAAAATATTAGTATTTATTAATTTGGGAGTCACTTAACGAAACATCGTAGGAGTTAATGTTTTCCCTGGGAATCAAACCCATGACCTTGTGTTGGGAGTGCAGTGCTCTACCAGTTAAGCTACTGCAAAGGAAAAACTATTTATCAACATTAAGATATGAAGTCTTAAATGTTATGAATGCTAACACAATTTTTATATAAAAGCAATTTTCAGTTTCATCGTTATTAATATTACTGATGTTATGTACGTAAGTCAGCACTGCGTATTTTTTCATTTATACTAATGTTGTGTTTCTTATTGATGCCTTTCCAGGTCGTAATGAGCTGATAGCAATAACATTACAATTTAAAACAGTGTATTTCTGTTTATCTCAGGACTTTGGCGACAAATGGCTTAGCTCGCTCACGTAGGCCTCCTAATGTAACTACATATCTTTTATAATTTGAAAAACATATAGTTTTTATGACAATATTTCGCTATTACGAGAAAAAAATTATTTTAATGAAGTAATTATCTCGTTTTAACAACATAGCATCTCATTATTACGATAAAATATGTAATTTCAATGACATAACATCTCGTTATTACGAGAAAATATTATTCTATTCACAGGCGCATTTATCAGATGATTTATTAATTTGTTGTTATTATTATTATTATTATTATTTATGTGATTAATATTTATATTCCCTAAGGAGGAACCACCCCTATATAGGCTACACTAAAACTTCATGACTCATGAGTTAAATGGAAACATATCTAGCAAAACACTCGAATAGTTCTTAAGGTGTAAAACTGGAAAAAAGTACTTAGTGCACTTTTAATATTGCACTATAAATAGAAACTTTAAAGGTGGGGTATGTATTTTTTCGAAAACGCTTTAGAAAGTCGGGTCGAGTACCTAAACAAACTTGTAGCCAATCAGCAGTAAGGGGCGTGTCTACTCGTGATGCAGAGGAGAGAGCTTTCAGTGCACAGGACGGACATTAGCGAGCCGAGCGACAGAAAGATAGAGATGGCGGATAAAAAAAACAAAAGCGGAAAACGTCTGCGGAACAAAAGAAGGCTTACGATAAGGCAAGAAGTAGGACCCGTGTAAATATCGGATTAGCTTTCCAGCGCTGGAGAGAACTCAAGGAGCGGAAGGCCTGTGATCGGACGCCGAGGTTGCTTTGTTTCTTCTCGATAAGCGAGTAACACCGTGTCTACACCGCCGCAACAGCTACAGTCTGTCTAGTCCACTGGACGTGACAAAGCGACCATTGAAAATCATTTTAAATTTGTGCCAGTACGTCATAAATAGAACGCAGCAGGATTGTCGGGGATTTGTCGTGTTGCGCCGCGCCACATCCAGTGTAGACAGCATCACTGATTATAATGAGTTCTATAGTATTTTGTCGCGCCACACCACTCGCGTCCGGTGAAGCCCCAGTGTAACATTGATTTTGCTTTGTTTCACAGAACTAATTGTTGCCTGGGTTGTGTACGTATGTGTGGGCGGAGCTATCAAAATAGGGGCGAGACCCTTTTGGGGTAGGGGCGTGTTTGTTTTGGTGATTTGAAATATCAACATTGGCTACCAGAAATCACTTACCCCACCTTTAAATAAACAGAAAATTTAGTATTTGCCTATATCTGTAGTCGAGGTCTAATATCTATTCTTTGCGAATTCTGAAGCAGTGCAAATGTAAATGTGCTGTTTTCTTGTGATCACTGAAACTGCAATGCTGTAATTAAAAAAGTCAGTACTCTATGGTTCATTGGTCATTTGGTCATTTTGACAGATGTGTTGTTATGACATATATGTGTTGGATGATGTCAAATGTCTGTGGTCCTGTTTTGCCTCAGGTGTCTAGTCACATGCAGGTGTTAGCCAGGAAGAAAATGCGGGAATATCAAGTAGGCATTAAGGTATGGCTTCTTTTCAATGTCTCTCTTCTCTTTTCTTTTTTCCCTTCCTTCCTTTCTCCCTCCTCTGACTTCCTTCCTGCAGGTGTCTAGCCATCTGCAGGTTCTTGCGCGGAGAAAGTCTCGCGAGATTCAGTCTAAGCTGAAGGTATGCGCCTCACTGCAGTCTGCTCTGCTCTGACCGCTGAAAACTAGCTTTTCCTAAACTCACCAACCCTTCCTATCTGTAGCACGCTAAATGTTAAAAATTACTTGTGATGTTCAGCTTACAAGTAGCATAATGTAACCGTCACTGTGTATAGACATTCATTAAAATGCATACATTGTGATGGAATTGAGCAGCATGCTTGCAAAGTAATGGCACCCTCTAGCGGTTGACTAAATATTGCATTGCATTCTAGTTGTATTGCTACATGTAAGCTAATGTGTATGCCTGACTGAACCAGGCTCAAACGCAAACCTATACTCATCTTTACATCTTTCTGCAATTTATTTGTTAACTCTATTGGAACACTGTACTATCCAAGTTTACGTTTTGGTGTAGTAGTAATACTTGTATTGATTTGATTAATTGCTTTGCTTTTATAATTCTCATTTGTAAATAATTTTCCACCTAAAAAAAAAAAACAACAGACTACCTGGATGTTTTCTTGTTTTATTTTGCTTTGATTTTCCCCCTCACTTACTATTTATTTATTTATTTATTCATTCATTCATTCATAAGGAGATGTTGCCTGTATAATTAAATTTTTTCTAATTATAATTGTAACCACTTTATAATGTCCAGTTGCTTTATTTATTTGTTTTTTTATTTATTGATTTATTTATGATCACACAATAATGTCCAAAATATTTATATTTAATTAATTCAAAAAAATGTATTTATTTATTTATCACACTATAATGTCCAAAATGTTTATATTTAAGGGGTCATATGATGCGATTAAAATTTTTCCTTTCTCTTTGGAGTGTTACAAGCTCTTGGTGCATAAAGAAGATCTGTAAAGTTGCAAAGACTAAAGTCTCAAATCCAAAGAGATATTCTTTATAAAAGTTAAGAGTCAGCCACGCCTACCTAAAACGGCTCGTTCTAACACGCCCCCACATGTCTACGTCACAATGTGAGAAGATTTGCATAACGCCGCCCAAATGTTCACACAAAGAAAGAAGGCGTAACTTTTATTCTCGCTGTAGTATTGTTGTTGCCGCCGTCATGTCGTGAAGGCGGTGTGTGTTTCGTTGTGAAAGCGAAACTACTTTGTTTGGTCTTCCAAAAGAGGACGATATCTGCTTCGTCATGCCTAGAGCTGATCCGTGCTGGTCGCTGAGGAAATACAACAACTTCACGCTGTGGATCGCCGGATCGGCTTTCACCGTGGACGAAGCCTAACGAGTCCAGCCCGGGGTTGTCACATGTGGTTGCCGAGAGCCCACTGGAAGCTTCTTCGTCGAATCCGCCGGCCGCCGCTCACTCTAATCCGCCATGTGTGATGCTGTGTTTCGTTGTTGAAACTACTTTGGCCTTCCAAAAGAGGACACGACTAGAAATCATTGGTTAAGTTGTATTTACAACACTGTTCCAGAACAGTTCAACCCAAATATTCAGATGTGTGCAGCACATTTTATGGAGGACTGTTTCCTGATCCTGGTAGAGTAGACTACAATGCCGGCTGTTCTGACTCACAGACTGTTAGTACGTTTTCATATTTAAAGGATTTGCCACTGATGATTCAAACGCGAGTTTTGAGCAGTGTAGAGTAGGGCTTGTTGTTTGTCATTTCTCCGATCACAAATGCAGACATGATTTTATGTTTATGCGGCGCGATGCAACACACCACTTAAAAAGACAGTATAAGGGGCCGTTCACATATCGCGTCTTTTGCGCGCTCAAGTTCGTAATTTCAAATGTAGACGCGTGGCAGGCGCGCTCATAATGGAAGCGACACGGTCGCGACGCGCACGCAGTGCGACACGCCACATCGAGATAAACACATTTCAACTCTTCAGAATGGCGCAAGCGCACCGCGGGTCATGTGACAAGAACCAACCAATCAGCTTCATCCTTTCCCGTAACAACATTGAAAGCTCAGCCAAGATTAAGGAACAGCTGATCATAGCTGTACAGGGATAGCCATTTTTAAATAAATTTAGTAGTAGAGCTACTGCAAGCGATTTTTAGTGCTGCAAATTCATTTACACTTTGCTGAAACTTCCGCGTCTTCATGGACAGCGCAGGTCATGGTTGCTTAGCAACGGCAGACGCCTCCGGAGCGCAAGCGCCCGAACGCTTTGGGGGAAAAGCAGAAAGCGGCGCGCCTAGCATTTTCCACGCGTTTTTAGGCGCGATATGTGAACGGCCCCTAAGTCATTATAATCCATAATTATGTCCCCGCTGGATGCAACAAATGCCTCGTTTATAATGGGTTTTTATGTTTTTGTCTCGTCGCTCCGGCCGGGACAGGGCATCACAATATGGTGAGGGGCGTAACATTTCCGTCACACGCTTGAGGTATTCGGCCAATCACAACGCACTGGATAGCTGGCCAATCAGAGCACACCTCGCTTTTCAGAACGATGAGCTTTGTAAAACTCGACGCGTTTCAGAAAGGCGGGGCATAGAGGAGAAACAATAATGTACAGTATGTGGAAAATAATGTGTTTTTTAACCTTAAACCGCATAAACACATTTCATTACACCAAATACACAAAATAAGGTTCTTTTTAGCAGCATCATATGACCCCTTTAAGTAATTCCAAAAAAAATGTATTTATTGTTTTATTTGTTTATCTCTGTCCAAAATTTCCAGCAGTCTTTTTTCAAATTAATCATTTATTTGCTTATTGAATAATGATAGATAGATAGATAGATAGACAGATAGATAGATAGATAGATAGATAGATAGATAGATAGATAGATAGATAGATAGATAGATAGATAGATAGATAGATAGATAGATAGATAGATAGATAGAAATGTCTTATTTTACTTTATTTTCCCCCATCATTCATTCATTCATTCTATAATCTGACTCAGAAATACTCTGTTGACACATTACATATTGATTAAAGTAATACAAACACATTGCATTACTTAACATAGATTTATAAACATCCATACTTGATACATTATTATATATGATACACACAAACACACCATTTTTTATGTTCATGTTTTTGCATGGTTCAGCTGGTTCAGCTTTGTGAGCTGAGTCTAGTGATGGGGAAAGTAAACACATGAACAATGATTGTTCTTATATGGAGGTCATTGGTTTAGTTTTTTTTCCAGCAGTAAATGAAAGGCAGCAGTTATAGTGATTGTTCAGAGGTGAAGCTAGAGAACTCTATTCTGTGATATCTGAACATACAGCATCAGAGGAGAAAGCACTGGCCTCTCGGTCCAGCTGTGCTGCTCAGAGTCATTTGATCGGTGTGTCATCTGATCTGTTTGTCTCATCAGCATTTTTAACAGTTTCTCTTCCTTTCAATTTTAGGCCATGAACTTGGTAAGTGAAATGTTTTGTAGTCTGCTTTGCCCGCAGAGCTTTATCCACGCAGACGCTCATCTTTCAGTTTGCGCAGTTCAGTGCTTTGGCTGCCAGTGTCACCCGTCTCACAGTGTGGATGAATTGAGCAACCACTACTACTGTTCTCCATTTCAGTTTTGGCTTACATTTTTATTTGTTATAGCTGCAAACTCGGAACGCTGCAAAGTATTTTAAAAGTGTTTTATTCTGTGTCATTAATTGTAAGTTTGTATTTTATCAATGTTCTTTTGTTAGTGTGTTCTATAATAATTGAGTAACTTTGTATACTAAATTCATACATGGACTTAACTCTAAAAGGTGGTTTCCATTGCATTCTTTGGCGATGTTTAAAACACTTTATCTGTGACAATTTCCTGGGTGGGACACTTTCAGATTTCTGTCTCCTTCATTCTGTCTTAATTTTTTTTTTGGTCTTCTTTCTGTCAACTGAACGACACTGCCTTTACATGCAGTGAATGTTTATGCTGTTCAGGTTTTCTGTGTGATATTGTATTTTGTTTGGGTGGCTGGATTCAAATGCGAGCACGATATCACACATCACATGCCCTTTGAAGCATGATTTTTGCATGCTTGCCTAAACCATTTAGTTTAGCATGCAGATCTTGCACTAAAATTACACTAATATTCAAATGTTTGGGATCAGTAGGATTTTTTAAAATTTATTAAATTATTTATTTATTTTTTGAAAGAAGACTTCTCACTGAGGCTGCATTTATCTGATCAAACATAAGGTAAAACAGTAATATTTTGATGAATTTTGATTATTGAATAAATATTGTTAAAAATAACTGTTTTCTATTTGAATATATTATCAAATGTAATTTATTCCTGTGATGCAAAGCTGAATTTTTAGCAAAGCTGAATTCCTCCCATCTTCAGTGTCACGTGATCCTTAATATTAATATTTGTATTATTATGTTGAAAACACATATTTTTGTGGAAACCGTGATACATTTTTTCAGGATTCTTTGATGAATAGAAAGTTCAAAAGAACAGCATTTATTTTATTTTTTATTTTTTGGTCAAAGTCTTTATTGTTATTAATATTAGTAAAACTATTGATTCCTTAAAAATGTATTTACTGATCCTCAAACTTTTGAATGGTAGTGTATATATTTTTTAAATCTGCTTTTCATAAACATTGCATATTATCACATATAAGTATGTATACTCATAAGTATGCTATAGAATTTTTAGCAAAGCTGAATTCCTCCCATCTTCAGTGTCACGTGATCCTTAATATTAATATTTGTATTATTATGTTGAAAACACATTTTTGTGGAAACCGTGATACATTTTTTCAGGATTCTTTGATGAATAGAAAGTTCAAAAGAACAGCATTTATTTTATTTTTTATTTTTTGGTCAAAGTCTTTATTGTTATTAATATTAGTAAAACTATTGATTCCTTAAAAATGTATTTACTGATCCTCAAACTTTTGAATGGTAGTGTATATATTTTTTAAATCTGCTTTTCATAAACATTGCATATTATCACATATAAGTATGTATACTCATAAGTATGCTATTAATAATATGTATACATTTCTTGACCTTTTATTTGAAACCATAACTAATATTATTGTTATAGAATGCAGATTATTAGTTAGACATTAGTAATATAATATAATTCATATTGTGTCTATGTATAATTTATATAAATACATTATATTAAACATTATTTTTTAAATATCCAATAGATTAATTAATCTTAGACATGGTATTATGAAAGTTCTGATGTTTCTTTCAATCCATGGTTGTGTTCCAAATGGTTCATCTTTCTACCCAGTAAAACTGTGCATCTAATGAGCTTTTCTTTTGTCTTTCTCAGGATCAGGCCTCCAAAGACAAAGCCCTGCAGAACATGGCCGCTCTTTCCTCCGCTCAGATCGTTTCTGCCAGTGTGATGAAGAGTCAGCTGCCTCCTCTTCCTCAGCACCACTATCCTCCTCCAGCCCGGGTTAGTTCAGAGTTTAAGTCACCCTCTTTTGACCAATTCTTTAGCGTAACCTTCAAACTCACATTGTGCTCTGTTTTGTTGTCTAGTTTTGGCCCGGCCCCATCCCAGGACAGCCTGGACCTTCTCAGGAGTGAGTATTTCTGGCATCTGATCTAAACTCAGTGTTCTTGTGAGATCCTGCTAAACTTCCTCTGTGTTTTTCTAGCATCAAACCCTTTGCACCGAGTCCATACTCCACCCTTCAGCCTCCACTGCCTCCACCCATATCAAGTAAGAGCAGTGCTGGGATTATATCAACCCTATACTGAGCTCAGACTGACCACCCGGCCTAAACCAGCATGTTTTCTCGACAGGTTATGAGCAGTTACCCACTCCGCACCCTACGAGTGCCACTGCCATGCCTGTGTGGCAGGACCGGACCATTGCCTCCTCTAAACTGCGCATGCTGGAGTACTCTGCCTTCATGGAGGTCCAGAGAGACCCTGACACTGTGAGTCTCACTACTATAGAATAGGGCTGGGCGATATGGCCTAAAAAAAAAAATCTGATTTACGATTTAAATCGATTTTTTTCCCCCCTACTTAAAATCAATCTGCAGATGACAAAGAGATTGTTCAAAACAAGTTTATTTTGTTTTGATTTACCCTTCTGGGATTTGATCTGGATTTCCCCCTTGGGGTTAAAGTGCAAACAGAAACATCAAGCCAAAAAGACAAGATGGCAGGCCCTGCCATTGTAAACAGTGAAAATGCAACATAACGTAACATAACATTCTTATCATACTGGATACAGTTTGTAAATGTTTGTAAGACTGTAAGTCATTGGTCTTCACTATTTTTTCATGGGAGCCACACTGATAGGGCAAAGTCAATCAGAGAGCCACTTTTACCGCAAAGTATCAAAAGTTACATCTAGTCATAAATAGCATGTCTTTTTATCAATCTGTCATCCCTGATATGCAATGCAAAAGGGGCCATCATTCTTTATCATTTACCAGTCAAATTTGTATCTGAGACAAGATGATTTAAAAAATAAATAAAATAAAAAGGATTACCTTAATGCTGGAAAGACCTTAAGTTATTGGTTTTTTTTTTATACTAAACCATCATACCATCCAAGTGCACATTCGAAATTAAGAGATTAAAACCGGCAACTCCGCAGTTATGCCGAGTTCACACTGCACGATTGTAGCCCGATTTTTCACTCGCTGACAGGTTTCGCGAAATCGCTGACAAATGCCCAAATCGGTGCTCGTTCAAACGAGTGACAATCACGCAGTGTGAATTATCAAAGACGCGATCTGAGGGAATCACCGACACGTTGCCGACTGCTTCAGGAATTTTTTTTTAAATATAAATTATTATTTGTAATAGAGCAGACACTGTCTGACCGTTGTCTTGCCCCGCTGTGCTAAAAGTCTGTCTACACTTGTTGACACTACAGTTGCAAATCATCTGAACGTAGTGTCAGTACAGTTCGTCATAAATAGAACGAGGCATCAGTTTACTGATGGGGATCGTGTAGCGTCACATTTTTTTTAATGGGTTATGTTATAGCCCTGCTTGTTTTTATTAAATATTTGTATTGACTGCAAGATCGTATCATCGTATTATTTACTGCCATGCGAGCCACAAAGTAAAGCTTGGCGAGCCACGCAATAAGTAACACTGCTGTAGGTTGGTTTTTGGCGGGTGTGCTTGTGCTACCGCGGTCTTGTTCATTTCGTAGGGCGCAACATCTCTCACTCGGCAGCATGCCTCTGTTTGAGGTGCTGCAGTAAATTGGTCGTACTGCTACCTTTGCTAGCAACAGACTTCAAACACACTTTGCAGCGGGGTGTAGTTTGTTCTGCGTCTGACGCCGCAAAACTGAACCAATTCCAAATTACGGATGACACTGTGCCTTTCTTGGGAACAAGTTCTTCCCTGCTCGCTGCCATGTTGTTTGTGTATCTCTATGGCAAATGCGTGGGGGGAGGGCTGAGCCCATTCGGAACCATGGGAGCCCAGAGGGGAGCGTCGGCGGATGTTTAAGAGAAATCGATTTTCATTTAAAAAAAACAACGTAAACTACACATTCGAGTTAATCGATAAAATTGATTTATCGCCCAGCTCTTCTGCAGAGTGTATTAGATACTAATGTTAGCGTGTTATGTGGTTTCTGTGTTGTTCTGAATGGTTTTAGCATGTTAGCATGCAGTAGGGTGTTCTGGGTGGTTAAGCTTGTGCTAAGAGTTTCTAGGATGTGTTTTAAAACATGATAACAGCATGCTAAAACAAACAAACACACACATACACAGTGTTGGGAAAAGTTACTTTTAAAAGTAATGCATTACAATATTGCGTTACTCCATAAAAAAGTAACTAATTGCATTTCTTCGTTTAATTTTTAATGGAAAGTAATGCATTACTTTACTTTTGCAGTACTTTTTGTCACCTGAGCTGGGCTTGCTTAATAATTTTTTTAATAACAAAAAAACCCAAATGTTATATTTTTGGCTACTTTATGGGCCCTTTCACTCCAAAAGTAAAATGAATAAGCCTCAGGCTGAATAAAGTGCCTCTGCACCTGTGTCAGTGAACAAATGGGAAAACAAAAAAGCTTGCCTTACTTATTTGAAAAAGTTACCCCCAGCACTGCATATATATATATATATATACACACACATACAGTATATATATATATATATATATATATAGGGCTGTGCAAGTTAATGCATTCTCGCGTTTTTTTATTATTTTGTAAGAGCGTT